CGCTGTACCCGGTGTGGCTACCTCTCCATCGGGGAAACCAAGCGGAGACTCGGGGACCGCTTTGCAGAACACCTACGCTCGGTTCGCAACAAACAACTGCACCTCCCAGTCGCGAACCATTTCAACTCCCCCTCCCATTCCTCAGACGACATGTCCATCCTGGGCCTCCTGCAGTGCCACAACGATGCCACCCGAAGGTTGCAGGAACAGCAACTCATATTCCGCTTGGGAACCCTGCAGCCCAATGGTATCAATGTGGATTTCACAAGTTTCAAAATCTCCCCTCCCCCCACCGCATCCCAAAACCAGTCCAGCTCGTCCCTGCCTCCCTAACCTGTTCTTCCTCCCACCTATCCCCTCCTCCCACCTCAAGCCGCACCTCCATCTCCTACCGACCAACCTCATCCCGCCCCCTTGACCTGTCCGTCCTCCCTGGACTGACCTATCCCCTTCCTAACTCCCTACCTACACTCACCTTTCCTGGCCCCATCCCCGCCTCTTCGACCTGTTTGTTTCCTCTCCACCTATCCTCTCCTCTATCCCTCTTCTATCCGCCTCCCACTCTCTCCCTATTTATTTCAAAACCCCCTTCCCCTCCCCCTTTTCTGATGAAGGGTCTAGGCCCGAAACGTCAGCCTCTCTGCTCCTATGATGCTGCTTGGCCTGCTGTGTTCATCCAGCCCTGCACCTTGTTGTCTCTGTACCACCTTTAGACAGTTTCTCGCTAGCTATTCTATCTAGCCCTCTCAGATTTGATAAAACTTATATCAGATCTCCTCTTAGCCACCTTCTCTCCAAGGAGAATGGTCCCAATCCCTCTAGTTTATCTTCATTACTAAGCTTTCACATCCCTGGAACCACTCTTCTAAAGTTCTTCTGCACTTTCTCCAATGCTTTCACATCCTTCCTAAGTTGTGGCACCCAGAGCTGTACGCAATACACCTGCTGAAGCCTAACATCTGTCTTACGCAAGTTCAACATCACCACACAGCTCTTGTGCTGTATGCCGCTGTAGGTAAAGTCCAGGATACTGTATGCTTTATTTACAGTTCTTTCCATCTGTCCTGTCACCTCAATGATGTGTGCACGTATATGCCCAAGTGTCCCTTCAGAGTTGTACCCCTCATTTTATGTTGTCCCACCATGTTGTTCCTACCAAAATGCATGGCCTCAGATTTCTCTGCATTGAACTTCATCTGCCACCTATCCGCCCACTTCTCCAACTTGTCAATATCCTTTCTGAAATTCTACACTGTTCACACAATTGACAATGCTTCCTCGTTTCATATTATCCCTAAACTTCTTGAAATTATCTCCTGCACAAGATTTAGGATGGAGAACTTCGAAGATTCACAACCCTATGAGGGAAGAAGCTTCTTATCTCGGTACTAAATGATCTTGGGATGAATGCCCCTTAATCTGTTCCCTTGTTCTAAATTCCTCAACCAGGCAAAACTAGCTCCCAAAGCTATCTTATCAGTCCCCTTCATAATCTTCACTGTTTCAATAAGACTGCCTCACTTTCTTCTATTCTCCAGAGAATAGAGTTCAGCCTATTCACTCAGTCTCTCATCATAGGACAGTCATATGAAAGACTGTTCTGAAGAACCTTGCACTAGTGTGTATTTCCTTAAATATGAAGACCAAAATTGCACGTAGTATTCTAGGTGTGGCCCCACCAAAGCCCTGTACAATTATAGAAATACCTCTATAGTTATACTCCGATCTCTTTGCAATAAAGGCAAATGTAAATTTATTTCTTAAGTGCCAGCCGTACTTGCATGCTAACTTTGTGTTCCATGTACAGGTACACCAAAGTGTCTCTGAATATCAATATATACCAATATGTTTTACATCTTAGACAAATATTCTGCTTTTTTTTAATCTTTCAACCTATGAATTAGTAACAGTGTACCGCTGGTATAAATTATTTTCACTGGTTCATTATCTTGTGCCCTGTGAATACTGTTACCAGCTAAGCCAGCATGGATGGACATGAACAGTCAAACTAAAGGGAGAAAAGAATGCACAATTTTTAATTACAAGGTTGGAAGTGATATGGTGAACTCGTAATCCAGAAACGTGAGAGACCAGAGTTCAAATGACCATAGCTGGTGGAATTTAAATTAATAATTTAATAATTCTGGATTACAAAGCTCATTTCAGTAATTTGACAATGAAACCATCAGATTTATTGTAAAACTCCAACTCCAACAAAGTGGGTCTTCAGGAGGATATAGGTTGGTAGAATGACTAAATAAGGAAGATGAAATTAAATGTAGAATAGTGTAAGGTGAAAGA